AAAGAAAAACGAATTCTCATTAAACAGAAAGACTGTGCCTGCAGGCAGGAAGAATCTACAGAGAAGAGGGAGCCTCTAGGAAGCCAGGAGACAGCCGGAAAGAAGATGCCCGACCGTGTGGATGTCTGAAACAGGAATTCAGACACCTCAGCAGCAAACCCTAAAGCAGAGGGCAACCACAAAAACCCAAACGGCACAAGCTGCTTGAAAATGGGCAAAGGTCAGATGGGTCTTTTTGGTTTTATTTGTGTATGTATTTATTCCCTTAAACTTTTTATTGCATATTCTTTTGTGGTTTTACCTCTTAATTTAGTTAAACAGTTGTTGACCTGTTATCGTGGTGCTTGCTCAGTGGGTGAACCTCTTTGCTGGCCCTCTCCCCTTCGTCCCCGCCTCCTTCAGCGCTCATGTATGTTGGGTACATACATGTAAGCACGCTGCTTAATTTTCTGAGTGGGGGTTCATCTCACCTCACATGGGGACTCCCAGTTCTGCTCATTTCCTTGCAAGCGGGATAATTTTCTTCTCTATTACCTATTCTGCTGGTTAGTTCTGTGTCAACTCTACACACTCTGGTGTCCCCTAGGACGAGGGAGCCTCCGCTGAGAAGATTTCCTCATCAGATTGGCCCATGGGCAAGCCTGTGCTGCATTTTCTTGATGGATGGTTGATGAAGAGCCAGCACACGGTGGGCGGCACTGCCCCCGGCCTGGTGGTCCCGGGTTCCAAAGAAAGCAGGTGGAGCAAGCCGTGGGAGCAAGTCAGGGCACAGCACTGTCCACGGCCTGCAGCACCCACCAGCCTCCCCCTCACCCATCCTCCAGGCCTTTGCACCAGCCTCCCCCTCCCCCATCCTCCAGGCCTCTGCACCAGCACCCCGCTTCAGGCACCTGCCCTGACTTCCCGTGGTGTCAGCTGTCAGAGAAAGTAAAGAAACCCTTTCTTCTCCCAGTTTGCTCTTCCCAGGGTTCTGTCACACTAACAGAAACCTGCTGAGACACTGATGAGTGGACATCATTGTGTGTCTCACACTTTCTGTTTTAATTTTTGTGTATGTTTATGTCAGTATAATGTGCTTCCTTTTCATTATGTGGAGGTTGTGCGTTTATAATCTACTTCAAACTTTTCCATGTGATTTGTGTGTGTGTGTGTGCCCTTGTGTGTACATGTGGTGTGTATATATGTGTATATGTGGCGTGTGCGCGTGGTGTGTGTGTGTGTGTGGCTTGTGTGTGTGAATCTGTGTGTGCACCACATTCAGTCTGTTTCTTAAGCTAAGTTAGTGTGTAAAGGGGTCCAGCTGCAGCACAGGCAGGAAGTTATCACCTCACACCTGTGAAGGTGACCCTTTTGAAAGGTCAGCAGAGGCTGGGGCGATCGCCGGCTGCTCACAAGGCTCTCTCATACAGGCACAACCCGGCCGCAGCTCCCTCTCCATGGCCTGACGCCCCCTTCCGGCCTCCTCGGGAACAGCACCCACATCCAGAAACCACACATAAATAAGTCTTCAAAAAAGAAAATGTGGCCTAGATACATACAGATGGCGCAAAATGAAGCTGTCCTGTTGAAATGTGAGGAAGAATGATGCGAGGCCCGCTGGGCTGCGTGGGACTGTCCGTGGGTGAGAGCAGAGCTGATCTCTAGCCCTCCACTGCCCGGTGGAAGAGGGGAGCTGACTTCTGTTTGTCCTCTGACCTCCACATTGCTGTGACAATCACGAACACACCAACAATAAATAAATTACATTCTTTTAAAACTTAAAAAAAGAATCAAGTTATGTCGTTTTCAGGAAAATGGATAGAAATGGAGGTCATTGTGTTAAGACAAAGACATAGACAGACAAACCCACCCTTTTCCTAATGGTAGGCATTTGGATCGAGTTATAAGAAGGGCCGATCTGATGGGGGTAGACAGGCTTTAGCTGGGGAAAGCAGGAACCCAGAGAGAAGGGAAATGGGGAACAGGAGAGTATTGTGAACATGAGCGAAGTTCAGTGACCTCGTGTAGGAGCACGCTGTAATGAAATCCTGTCTTTTCAGCCGCAGCCGAATCAACGGATGGCCTACTATTAATTCAGCACTGAAGGATGCATAATTCTTAAGGCTGAGTTCTCAAGAACCTCGTGGAACCTTGCAGACTCGGCTCAGAAGTTTCGGTTGGGTATCTGTGAATCAGTTGGTGGCCCTGACCCAAAATAGCGACTTATAGGCAGTAATAATGATAATAATATCTTGACTGTTGATACCATTTCCACAAAAAGAGAAAGGTGCATGCAGGCCATTTGTTGAATGGAAATGACTATGTGTCCCCCCCAGACCCCGAGTTTCAAAAGCACAGGTGTCAAACCAAGTCAAACGATTGAACCTGAGGGAGAGGTGATGATTCACACAGAGGGGCTCACGGTCACTTACCCTTTTCCCCTTTCTCTTTCTCCTTCCCTCCATCCTTTGTCTGATTTGTTTGTTTGCTTTGTCTTTTGAGAACACTATAAAGTCAAGACTAGCCTCAAATCTGCCAATCTCCTGCCTCAGCTTCCTGGGAATGCTGGCTTGACAGGTATGTGCCATGACCCCCAGCTTTATACTAATGGATTTTCAGAAACAGAACAGAGCTGGTGCCAATGATGCCAGCATCCTGAGGGGAAGTGCACCATTTTCACGATGGTGGCACAAATGTACCTTAAAGGAGTACACAGCTAGGGTCACACCGGAAGTTCATTCTCAGCATCCATTACAAAGCTGGGCGTTAGGACCTCAGCTCTGGCAGAAGACTCCTGAAAGGTCTCTGGGGCTGCCTGGCCTGATGGTCTAGTGTTTTTAGAAGACTCCAAGCCAGTGAGAGACCCTGACTCAAAAACACAAGCGGTACTGCCTGAGGAATGACACTCAAGATTACCCTCTGTGCTCCACAGAAGACTGCAATCTCACAATTTAAAATTGTCTATTCTTTTTCATAAAGAGTAGTGGTTTTTTTTTTATGTGTATGGGTGTTGTGTCTGTGTGTATGTCTGTGTACCCTGTGTGTTACCGGTGCTAGAAGAAGCCAGCGGAGGGCACTGGGTCTCATGGAGCTGGACTTACAGATGGCTGAGCTGCCTTTCCGGTGCTGGGAACCAAGCTGAGGCCTTCTGGAAGAACAGCCAGCACTCTCACCTCTGCCCAACAACCCCCGTCCCACGAGACAGGGTTGCTCTGTGTAGCCCTGGCTGTCCTGGAACTCACACTGTAGATCAGGCTGGCCTCAAACTCAGAGATCCACCTGCCTCTGTCTGCCGAGCGCTGAGGCTGAAGGTGTGTGATGCCATTGCCACAGACGGTTTTCACTTACTTGTAAATCAAGTTGCTACACAGCCGGCATCAGCGAGGGAAACTTTCAAGGCTGTACCTGTTGACATCACCCATGCTGACTGTGGAGATCCCCCAGAAGCTCTGCCTTTATTAATAGCCCAGGCGCAAATTCTGAAAGTAAGAGCCCTTTCCCATCACAGGATGTTTCCACTGAGGTCATTTTTATTTCATGTAAGTACATATCCTTTTACGGTTTAGAGTAACCGGAACACAGCAGAGAACACAGATTTCCCTATAACACACTCACTGTTTCTGGCGGTGAATATTTGTTCTGGCCTAAATGCACATGTCCCCAGAATCCACACATGGGACCTGTTAGATAGGATCAGGCAGTAGAGGGGCAGGACAGACCTGTGTTCACAGGCCCAGCAGCCATGTCACCTCGGTGTGTGGTGGTGACTGTGTGACCCATGCTGGCAAGCGGAGTCAGCTCAGGCTAGCCAGTCTGGATGAACGGGTGAGCTTCTCGTGCCAGGAGAGGCTCTGGCTCAAAAACAACCAGGTGCATCTTGCATGCAAACTGCAAGTGCTGGGAACAGAATGCAGCCTGGAGCACAGGTCTGAGCTAGGGAAAAGATGCTTCGTCGGGGAGGGATGTCTACCAGGTAACGGTCACATACTCACACACCCAGGCTTGGGGTACAGGGAACAAAGCTTGCATTGCCGGGTTTTCAGCTTGCCTTGGCCTCATCTCCCTCCCTATCCCATCCTTTCCTCTTGAGAATTGGATAATTTATTCTCTACCACGCTGTCATGGGAAAAGCCCCATTAATTATAGTCTCATAGGCCCATAGTCAGTCCCAGACTGCCAGACAGGCCTCCGTGGCTGTGAGCCTTTCATGTGAGTGCTGGGACTGAACTGCAGCCTTAGGCAAGAGCTGCTGCTCTAACTGCTGAGCCATCTCTGCCAGCCCTGGGCTCAGTCTTCTGAACACTGTTGGAGGTGTTAAGAGAGTAGGGGATGTTGAATTTGAACTAAACGCATTTTGTACTACGAGATGCCCACAAGGCCTATGGGGACCAGGATTGGAACTTTCGGGTTTGAATCTGAGAGTTGGATTTCTCTGTTGAAGTTTCAGTCCCCCAGCGGATGGTGCTATTTTGGGTCTCTGTGAACCTTTTGAAGGTGGGGCCTAGCTGTAACCTGTCATGGGGGACCTTGGAGGTCAAGCCCAGCGTGTTCCCTTCCCACCCCAAGACTTGCAGCTTCTGCACAGGCCTCCTCCACAGTGCTGTGGGGCAGGGCGTTACTAAGAACAAAATTCAAATTCAAAAGAAGACATGAAGCTGGAAAGCAAATGGGGTGTAATAGGTTTCCTCCACCAACAAAATAAGCCAATTCAAGCTGAAGTGAGAGTAAAAAAGGAAGGTTTATTTGCAGGGGGGAGGGGGAAGAAGGGAGCAAAGTGTTTGAATTATGTAGTGAGGAACATTTGAGGGCGGGCGGGTAGGGGCGGGGGGGGCAGCCCTTGGGCTGGAAAGTTCAGGGTAGAAGTCTGGGTAAGGAAGGGTAGGGATGCTGGAGGAACTTGGGGGATCAGGTCAGCTTTGAAGTGTTAAATAAGCTTCTTAGAAGCAGCTTGTCCTGATAGGGAGGAGTGGAGAGGGGACTACACAGGGGGAGAGGGAAGGACACATCCGTGTCCTAAACATTTTTAAATATGTGCAAATAAAATTACTCTTAATAAATGAAACAAGCCATCCAGCAGCTGTGGTCAAGGGTATACCCACTGAACACTGAAGAAAGTCTCATCGGCGTTGAGGGATGGCCGCAGAGGCAGGCTGAGGTTGGCGCAGAGGACATCTCCTCGGGCCAGGCGGGTTAGGCGCTGCAAGGCCACGGTGCAGTCCTGTTGGAAGTTCCGGCGCAGCAAGCTGACACTGTGCGCTGTGGGGGAGCAGATGCCCACAGCCAGGGTGACCCCGTGCTGCTTGGTGCTGCATGTGCTAGAGCAGTTGGCCAGTGTCACCTGGACATGCAGCCGGTAGATGCCTTCGAGATGGATAAGAAGCTGCCCTTTCTCTAACCCTGGCCCGTGGATGAAGGATCTTCCCAAGGCCGGCCCGGCTTCCCAGTGCAGTGTGGGGCCCGTCCAAGAACCTGGGGGTGGAAGGTGAAGGGAATGAGAACCGAGGTTAGACAGGGAGGGGGTTAGAACAGGGGAGGGAGGTGGAGGGAGAAGGAAAAGAAGAGGGAGGGTGATAGGCACACAAGATTCAGGGAAGACAGAGAGACGGAAGAAGGTGGTAGAGATGGAGAGAGATAATATGATGAAGAGAGAGATGGAGACGCAACAGAAAAGTCAGAGAAATGCAAGTACACATAGGTGGGAAGACAGAGGAAGAGAGACAGAGATGGCACAGGGAATGCCTTTGGCTGTTGAGGTTCCCTTCCTCACTCTGCAGCTATGATTGTCCCCAGCTGTCTCTGGGTCTCACCCAAGTCCCTCTTGCTCTGTCTCCAGCAATATTTGGCCCAGCTCAGAGGACCACAAGGGCAACCACCGTGATTCCTGGGCTGGATACACAGTAGGCCCTCTACAAGGACGAAGAAGGGTTCTACCAAGTCTCCAGTTACTACCCTTTCGCTGGCTCACTAGACTGTCAGCTGTGGGGGTCTAGAATCACCATGACAACTAATCTCTGAGCACCTTGCCATAGGCTGGGGCCCTGAATCCAAGGGAGAAAGTGCTGAACACTAATTTTCATCTCACTGCTTCCTGATTGAGGGTGTGAAGTGACATCAGCCTCCTGCCTCCATGCCTTCTCCTCCATGATGGACTACAGCCTCCAACTTCAGGCCAACAGACACCTCCCTCTCTTTACTTGCTTTTGCTCATTATTTTGTTCCAGCAATGAAAAAACTAATAGGACTGTCTATCCAAATATCTTAATTAGCAACCAGAACATCTTAAAACCACTACCTGGAAGGGAACCTTAAGAGCAAATTACTGGGGGCTGGAGAGATAGCTCAGCAGTTAAGAGCACTGGCTGCTCTTCCGGAGGTCCTGAGTTCAATTCCCAGCATTCACATGGCAACTCACAACTGTCTGTAATTCCTGTTACAGGGGACCTGACTCCTTCACACACACGCAAGCAAAATACCAATGTACATACAACAAAAATAAATAAAGATAATTTAAAAACAAACAGAACAAATTACTGGGGCAGAGAGGGAAAAATCTCTTTAATTAGTTACTGATTTTGAGAGAGGTTCTAGCTATATAGCCTAGGGTACCCTCAAATTCATGATATTCCTGTGTCAGTCTGCTGAGTGAGAATGACAAGTGTGGGGCTGGAGAGATGGCTCAGTGGTTAAGAGCACTGTCTGTTCTTCCAAAGGACCCAGGTTCAATTCCCAGCACCTGCATGGCAGCTCACAACTGTCTGTAACTGTAATTCCAGGGGATATGACACCTTCACACTAGTACACATAAAATAAAATTAAACAAATTAAAAAAGAATGACAACTGTGCCAGCATGCACAGACACGATGGGTTTATTAAAGTTATGGGCCTCACCTAAGTACTAATAAATGTCACTATTAGAAGTCTGTTTTTAAAGTTTGAGGCAAAATCTTGCTTGTAGTGTGAGCTGAGGTGGAAATTGCAACGCCCCTGCCTCGGCCCCTCTGGGTGCTAGCATGGCAGATGTGGGTCATCCATCATGTCCGATGGGGCTTCACTTTGAAGGAACCCAATCCCAGCACAGGAGAGGCAGCACCTTGGCTTAATTCTCTCTGCCTACTTTTCAGCACTTGTGTTTTCTTTGGATTGTTCGTGGGGGTGTCTTGGAACCCAGACTCTTCCATATGTTTTGAGAGTTCTCTGCCACTGACATCCCAGCCCCTCAGAGGCGGATTCTAGGTGTGGGCTCCATATTCGAGCCAAGTCTCCCGCCCCTCACTGCCCTTTCGCTGAGATGCGGCCGCTCATAGAGATGTGTAGACAAAACAAAGGTATGAAGGAGCTGTTTTGAGTGTTGTGCCGAAAGGAGAGGATTAGTGAGGTGGATGCCCCCATTTCACTCTAGCATCTCTGTTCTTCCTTCCCTCCTTTCTCTCTTCCATTCTCAATTTCTTTTGAGACAAGGTCTCCAATAGCCCAGACTGGCCTTGAACTCAACTATGAATTCCTGGTCCTTCTGCTTGCACTTCTCCAGTGCTGGGATAGCAAGGGTGTGCTGAGGATGGAAGCCAGGGCTTTGTGAGTGCAAGGCAGCGCTCTACCCACTGAACCACACCCCACAGTAACTCAGGTTAACTTCAAACTCCCTCTGCCGCAGAGGATGACCTTGGAGTCCCGACCCTTCCACCTCTGCTGCCCGAGTTCTGGGATGACAAGTGTGGACCAGCAGCCTGTCTCCCGTGGTGCTAGGGACAGAAGCCAGGGCTTCCTGGATGCTGGGCTCAGGCTCAGCCAACTCAGCCAGACCCGGGCCACTCCCTTCCTCCCTCCCTCTTTCGTGCCTCCAGCCCTCACCCAGCTGGACCCCCAGCCTTACCTGTGATATTCAGTTGTAACTCAGCTATGTGCGTCTGGAAGAAAATAACAGAAAACAAGGAACACACTTTAGGGTCTCTCGAAGACCCTCCTGTCCCTTTGCCTGCTGGCTGGGGTCCATCCTGCATCCCCAATGGCCCAATTTGAGATATATTTTTTAAATTGATTTTCTTTGCTGTAAAGTCTTACAGAGGCTCGTGAGAAGTTGCAGGCCTCACATAAGGTAACCAGACCGCCCAAACAATCGGCTGGTTTGTGTTTCTGGAACTGGTGCCTCAGGCCATCCTTCCCACCACTTCACCAAAGACACAGGTGGTGCTCTGCCTTTCAGCCCCGGGCAGCTACGGGTCCCCTCCAGCCGCCCAGCACTAGCTCTCAGTCCGGGACACGGTGGGGAACGCCGGGGTGGGGGTGGGGGGCCGGGTCGTCCCGGATGCCTAAGGCGGCATCTTTCCCAGCCCGGGATCCCCCGTGTGCTCCAGGGCAGCGGGAACCGGTCTGGCCCCCCTGTTCGGCCTCTCCGGTGTTCTGTCTCATCTTCCTCTTTTCGACCCACCTCGTTCCGATTTTGCCCCTTTTTTTGGATCCTTTGCCTGCGCTCCAGCGCATCCTCTCAGCGCCCGTGCCCTCCGGCGGGCGGTCGGGCACCTGAATGTACCCTCCCTCCTTCCCCTTCTCTTCTCCTCTCACCTCAGATCGCTCCTGCGGCTGCTTACAAAGGCCACAGTAGAAGAAACAGTAAATCGCCGCGACCGTGAGCCCCAGCAGCGCCGGCGGCAGCAGCTGCTGGCCGAGGCGCAGCAACATGGTCCAGCTCCGCCGCGCCCAGGGGCCAAGGCGGCCTTCCTCCGGCATCCCTGCACTGATGGCGACGGCCAGAAGGCAGCAGGAAGCTGTAGCCGCCTCAGCCGAGCTTTTGAGGCTTCTGCTTGTCTTGACCTGCCCTTAGAACCCCCGGGGATGTCCGAGGAAGGGGAAGAACTGGGCCTCTTCGCCAAGGGCAGGGAAATCCCCTGGAGCCTTATGCCACCCTGCGCCATCCCGCAGACAGGCCTCCCCTCAGCCTGTCCCTGAGGAAGAGAACACTGTGTCTTCCAGCTGGGCAACCAGCCCCTGCTGCTTCTGCTTGGTGTTCGTTCGTTCGTTCATTCATTCATTCATTCATTCACTCACCCATTCATTCAACAAACCATCCACTGAGCTCTATTAGTGGTTCAGAACTGGGCTGGGACACCGTAGACCCTTCCACGGGGGCTGTTCCTAACATCCTACCACACTGGAACTCACCATCTAGCCCAGGCTGGCCTGGAATTGTTACGTTGTCTGGAGTGGCCTGCAACTCCTCCAGAAGCCCAGCGGGTGCAGAACCTGCCATGCGGCCAGGCTGGCGGCTAACTCATCCTCTGACCTCAGGAACGCCGACTGGCAGACGTCTGGATGCCTAGCAGACTGGATAGCTCTCCCCTCCTCTGCCCCATGCCCCCGGGAAGCTGAGAACAGGACCCTATGTGAAAGTAGACGCGGCCATTGCACTCACTTCAGCCTCACTTCAGCACAAGATGGCTGGGGGGGGGGGGGGGTTTCGCATGGAGGGAGAGGGGCTTGGATCCCTCCCCGCCCTGAGGCTTTCTGAGCAGTTCTGGTTGCCAAGGGAGAAGGACCACTTTCTTTAGTGGTGTGGGCCACCAGTAAGTTGTGGTTGCTCCAGGAAAAGAGCCTCCTACCTATGACTCAGTGCCGAACACACACAGAGAGAGACGTGAGAGCCTGTAAGGCCTTAGGGGAGGGGAAGGAAAGGGCCGACGCGGAGGCCCTGCTGGGAACAAAGGATTCAGCAGCGGCAGACAGAGTGCAGGAGAGAGGCGAATAGGGGGTGGACACGATTAAAAGTCATTGGGGGTGGGGGGGGGGCGCTGGACGGATGGCTCAGTGGTTAAGAGCACTGGCTGCTCTTCCGGAGGACCTAGGTTAAATTCCCAGGACCCACAGGCGGCTCACAACTGTCTGTAGCTCCAGTTCCAGGATCTGACACGCTCACACCAATGCACATAAAATAAGAAATGGAAGAAATGAAAAATAAATAAATAAATGAATTCATTCTGTGAGTCCATGGAGCGGCGGATAGGAAAGAAGGCGCAGCCAGCCAGGCCCGGAGCGTCCGGTGGGCTCTGCCAGGCCTGCAGGGTCCGGTGGGCTCCGCCGCAGCGGAGTGAGCCGCCGAGGGTCCGCTTAGAGCCGGCTTGGGCAGCTGCCCCGGCCTGGCCGGCCTGGAGCCTGCTTCTCTCGGCTCCCCGGAGTCCTCTCCTCCTCTGGGCGCTCCGGGATCGCTGTGTGCCCTTCGCCGAAGCCCGTGTGCCCGGACCGTTCCGTGGGCACCTCGGCAGGCCCCGCTCCTCTCGCGTGGGAGAGGAAAGGGCGCCGGGGAGACCCAGCGGACCCAGCTGGAGGCCGCCGCCACCTTCTTACCCGGTTTGGCAGGGGCCTCTGGGACTGGAGAGGCGTCTCCGAGGGCGAGCAGGGCCCTTTCGCAGCACCCACGTCAAATGGTTTCCACGGGCCCCTGTCCTCGTGCGCACACCCCTCCCCCCAACATACCCAGAAACACGAGGCGGCGGGGGCCGTGGTGGGCACCGTCGGGCAGGAAGGAGGACCGGGAGCTCGAACCCTGAAAGCGGGGTCGGGGCGTCGCGCAGCCCGCCGGGAGGCCGGCACGGCCCAGCCGCTCGCGCGCGGGGCCCCCCGAGTTCACGCTGGGGGAAGGGACCGAAGAGAGCCGAGCAGGCACGGCCAGGGGCAGCCGCCAGCCCGGGACGGGGGGTGCGGCCTCCCGGACACTGTTCCAGGCCTGACCCCGCAGCGGTGAGAGCACGCATTTTTCTGTTTACGAAACATCCCGACTTTAGGTGCGTGCGGGCGCGCCCACGCGCGGGCGGCGCCGTCGGAAACCGTAAAGTGGAGTTGGGGCTGCAGCCCCCGGGGGTCGTGGGATGCCTGCCGAGGGTGCTCGGAGCCTCCGCCAGTACTCGCAACTAAGCCGTTTCTTCAGCTCCGTTTTGGGGGGCCTCGAGGCATCCAGTGTGTGGGGCGTCCCCGCGCGGGTTTTTACTGCGGCGACGAACACCGTGACGGGAGCAGCTGGGACAGGAAGGTTCATTCCACCTCCCCGAGGGAAGGCAGGGCGGGAACTCTAGGCAGGGCCGAGGCAGGGGCCCAGGAGCCCGGACCCACTGGCTCGGCCTGCCTTTTAGCCCAGCTTAGGGCCGTCTGCGTGGAGACGCACGCGCTGTCGCTGTCCTCCCACCCTGGACGGCAGCCCAGCAGCCCTGGCCTGCCCACGGGCCCAGCTGGTGGGCGCGTTTTCTCCGATGAGCTTTCCCTTTCCAGAATCACTCCACTTGTGTTAAGCTGACGCCGAGCGAGGCAGCACGCTGACTTTGGACTTGCACTCTGCGCGCCAGTGGTTTAAATCATGTTTCATTCGCTATCAACGTCATCATCATCATCATCATCGTCGTCGTCATCATCACCATCATCGCAGTGCCGAGGACAGAAGCTAGGATAGTGTATATAGTTGGCAAGTGTTGTCCAGACACCATTCACCCACACCTCATGCCCCTCACTGGGCTGGGGGCGTGGCTCAGGGGTGAAGCACCTGCTTAGGATTCCCCAGTGACGAGCTGGGGTGTTGCTGAGGGGGTAGAATCCCTGCCTAAAATCCTCTTGGGGAGGGGCTCGGGACGTGCTCTGGGATGGAGTGTTTCTATTTTCGTTACCCTCCTCTTTCTCCCCGCTGGCTAGAATTCCCCAGGGAGGGGCTGGGTCTGTGCTGGCTGTGAGGGTTGGTGCTAAGTGCTTACCTCATGCTTAGTACAAGGGGAATGGCTTTCATTCCCAGCCCGGCGGGCTTTCTGGTTTGGGGGGAAGTCTTCTGTCTCTTTTTTGTCTTGTTTACTAGCTGGGAAAATGAGTTTACTGTCCCTTTTAGAGGCCTTCGGTGATTAGTTGGCCGCATCTTGGGTTGAACCCTTCCAAAACTGAATAGGGAAAAAAAAAATTCACCTCAGGAATTCCACGGCAGCGTCAGGGAAGTCACGTGGTTGCGCCAGTAACCTTTTATGGGATGTTTGCCAAGAGCAGGGCTTTCCCCCACCTGCAGGCTGTGGCTCAGCCAGGTTCGTGGTGGGGGTGGGGTGGAGGGAGTGGGATAGGGGGTGGGGGGTGGGAGGTGAGGGGGTGGGACAGGACTCAGAGGATGAGCTCAGGGGACCCCAGGAACAGGAGGAAGTCCGTTTCCTTCTGGAATCCTAGGGACATCAGTCAGCCTCAGCGGCCTTCTGCTCTCCTCAGGACCGCTGGAAACTTCTCTATCCCGTCATGCACTTAGGTGTCAAGCAAATATTGAAACTGCGGAGTCAACGTTCCTCTTGGTCAAACTTAGCCATTTCCTCCCTTTTCCTTCTCAGGGGGTGACTCCAATTTGCTTCTTCCTCAGGGTTTCCGTTGCTGTAATTGACACCACGATCAAAAGCAGCCCGGGGAGGAAAGCGTTTACTTCATCTCACAGCTCTCAGCCGGCACTCCGTCGTCATATTGCTGAGGGACGGCAGGGCTGACAGAAACCAGCCAGCGCAGACCCTCCCCCTTCCCGCCAGCCTCTTCTACTTTACCCCTCTTGGGGTGACCCAGTGAGTTTCCGGGGTGGGGGCGGGTCACTCGCAGCGAGTGACACTGTAATAGCTAGAAAGTCCGTGGGGCCATTGAACTGTCGAGGTCACTGCAGAGCGTTTCTGTTCTGATGTGCCTGTTGTCATTCAGGCCTCTATTTTTGTGACGTCTCTGTAAATAATGTTGTATGTCCTCAAGATGGAAATTCAAATGGTTGAGGGATTAGGGAAGTGACTGCACATCAGGTGCCGGGCTCTCACAGTCATCTGTGTGCTGTGTTAACACCGCCTCTGAGTGCCCACTCTGTAGCCTGGCCTCAGGGGACCTAGGTCTTATGTCATCACCTGCCTCCACCAGGTGGTCGTCATCTGCCTCCACCAGGTGGAAGTCACCTGCCTCCACCAGGTGGTCACCACAGGTGCTCACAGCTGCTGGATAAAAGGACTCCCCCCATCTCTCTCTGTTAAGTGCCCCCTTCCTATCCCTTCCTGCCCTCTCTTTGCCCTCATGGCTAGTTGGCTGCCTCTACCCCTGTCTCCATGCCCTCCTCTCCCTTTCCCCAATAACCCCCCTATACACCTGTTGCATGACGTAATTTCTCAGAGGTTCACCTTGGCATGGGCCTGCTCTGGTGCCCCCTCGCCACATCCTTGCATTCTGTAACACTGGTGCTGTGGCCTCGAGGGACTCTCCTGGGGTCTGACACACGGGGATGCCTTCGACTGCTACACCTGCTGCCACAAATCTGCCCTCCAGCCCACCCCACCCACCACCAGAACTAGGGAGCTTCCCTCTTCACCTACCCACTCCCATCGTCCCCGGAGCTGCTGTCTGCAGCTTCCTTAGGCCCTCCTGGGCTTCCATGCCCCTTCAGGTTCTCTCCAACCACCTCTGCTGTGGAGCTGCTTGTAAATCCCACAGCTCCTTTAGGCCCAAGTGGCTTTTGTGACTCTTCCTCAGCCCTTTCCTGTGGATGAGACCCTACTACTACAGTTGGGTTTTCTTCCTCATCTTCTGCTCTGTGAAAACCCTGGTGCCAGGAGCTGAGTTTCCTCTGGCTTAGCCAGACCATCGGCTCCTGTTGGTGTGTGAGGACCCACTGAGCGGCTTGGTCTTCGATTTGTCTTCCTTGTGGCCTGGCGTAAGACAGATCTTATATATATAAGAGGTTTGCTAGGTGGATATGGAGA